TTTTTTTTTTTTTTTACTGTGGAAAAACAGAAAGTAAAGGATACTGGCAGTAAAAAAAAATCATCTGAAGTCAGATCTGATTAAGGGTTTGGGTACTTGGTTATTTCAAAAGCCTGTGGGGATAGATGTGGTATGCTTGCTTAGATAAATCTGATTGATATTCTAAATTTTTTGTTCTGCTGAAACCAGCAAAAGAAGATTTTTCTTTCCAGGAAAATTTAATTCAAAAAAGTAAGGTCTTTGGCAGTGACCCCTCAGATGGGTTCTAACCCACTGTGGCAAACCCTCATCGTATAAACGCAGAAAAGTMATGTATGAATACATATGTGCCTAAAGATGCAGCTAGTCCCTCATTATCTGTGGAAATTCTGGTTCAAAGTAACTTTAAAAAGTGAAATCAGGTCTCAAATCTCTTGAGCAGTTCTGAAAGCGTTCCCASTCAAACACTACAGCTTTCTAGCTACATTTAATGTTTATTTACTAGAATCCACCATAAGGCAACTGCAGCAATGGCTTTTGGTCTTCTTGCAGTCCCAGACTAAACCTGAYCCAGTGGCAGAGCTGAAAATTACTATCCCTGCCCAGCTGCCAAAATGAGCCCAAGTGAGCCCTGGCCCAAATGAGGTCAACCCCAGGTTGATGTCCGTGGCTGGAGCTCAGCCCCGGGTCAGGAGTCACCCCTTTATTGACAGAGTAACTGTATTTACTCTGCTCCAGCTGCAACGTTGCTGCTTTTTGTGGAAAACAAAGGGGCACATACAGACTCGTGGGACTGTAAGCAGAAAGTAGTGCAGAAAAAGCAGCTGAGGAGGACCTGGGGCTGGAAGAAAAGCAGAGGCTGCATGCAGGCCTGAGTGGTGGTGCACCTGAGTGTGGGGAGCCCAATGTCAGGAGACTGGGCAGCAACAAGTGCAAGAAGACAAGAGGGAATTTCTCAGGCTGGCACTGAGAGGCATTGTGCTTTGCTTTCATCTGCATGAACACTGCGGTAACCAGACCCACTGTCTGCTGCCATCCTCCCTCCTTCCAGCCATCTACGCCTGCTCCATCCCTGTGCTGGGGAGCACACACCGATGGGACCAAAGAGCTCAGAAATTGTGCACTGTTGCTCAGCAGCTCCCTGTCCCCCGAGGAGGACAACGTAAGCGATCTGCACCAGTCTCCTGGGCTGCTCTTCTCTGCACAGCTGGAGGTGCTCCTACCTTGACTTTTTCTGGACTTCCCTTGCTCAGTCTGCAGATTTTCTCCCCCTTAAAGCCTCCAAATCCCCCATTTCAGACTAGAAAAAAGCCTTTGTACGGGGTGCGCTGACCCACCACGGCAGGCCGGTGCAGGACAAAGGCCGAGCTAAAGGGAGCTGGCACCAGGATATTGATCCCTGAGGAGACCTTGAGCTGGGTAAATACATGTCCTACTTTCTCCCCCACTCCCTGCGGGTGGGAGCAGGCTTGTGTGGGGTGTGGGCCAGGTCTCACAGGCAGCAACAGGTTTTAAAGGTAGGTCTGCAGCTCTGGGGGAAACCCCAGTGCCTGCCATCAAATCTACTAACAAAGAGGCTCTTCTGCTGCTTCCTGCCCTCCCTCCCTGCCCCTCCATCTGTGGTTGTGTGCTTATGCCTGCTGTTTCTCAAGGGATGCTGTGGTAGCGGAGAAGCGCCCTTGCTCTCCTGGACCTCCCAGCTTGGTGCCTTGGGGAGGAGATCCTTCCCAGAGGTAGCACAGAAATTGTCCCACAAGGACAAGGGATGGCAGTCTGGGCCTGTTTGTGCTGCTGCCTCTCTGAAAGGGTGTGGGTATGTGACTGCTTGTCTGAGTGCAGATGCTCACCAGGCTGGGTTTAATGATCAGGAGTGAGTTACCTGCTGTTTATSTTCTGCAAATGTGCTCCCACTTTGCAAGGCAGCCTGGAGGTCCTGGGGCTCTGTAAGTGCGGGGAAGGAGGCTGGAAAGCCCACTCACCCTGATCAAGTGATGCTCAGTGCATCCACATGGGCTAAAATGTGCGTGAGGCCAGACACCTCTCCTCTCATCTGCAGCAAGTCCCTCCCATGCACTCCTCTCCTCAGGCTCACACACACCACTGGGTGCAAAGATGACTCACAGACAACACAAGCATTCCACGAGACCTCTGTGTCCTCCCATGCATTTCCACCCCTTTCCTCTCCAGCTACAGAAACACAGAAAGCCTTGGAGGGCAGGCTACCTCGTGGTAGCAGGGGAAAGGAGGAGGAAGGTGGGTGAAATAACCAGTATTAATGTGGCTCTCTCAGGAAACRGCATCTCTTATCCTCACAGTGTGGGGCTGACAGAAGGGAAGTGCTCAAGAAGAAGCAAAAGAAGCAGCATGGGTGAGATGAGGGGCAAAGGAACACAGTTGACCCCTGGCACAAGCAGAGGGTGAGGAAGAGCTGAACATTATCCAGGTGGTCTCTTCTCATTAGCTCAGCTACTGAGCCAGTGCCAGCATTGTCTTTGCCTGGGAACACACGGTCTGGTGGGAATGGCAGGGTTTGCTTACTTGTAGGGATCAAGATAAAAATGGCACAGCAGGCAAAGTGCAACTTCAAGCTCCCAGGCTGTGGCTGGTTTATGCAACTTTTGCTCACGTTTGAGGACACAGATCTTCTTTTGCATTGATTTCTAGATCAATAAAATACCAGTTTTAAAACCATTCCCAGCCTGGGAGGACAATACACTTGTATTTGGAGAAATTCGTTATTGTACTTATTTGAGATTTTGACAAAAGCAAAACCCAGGGAATGCCTTTGAAAACCAAGGGATCACCAGGAGGTATATACAGGAAGGTGTCCTGGAAGCCTGTCTCCCACTGATTTAGGAGGTTTACTCACATTTGTTTTAAGCAAAGTCCCTGATGGTTGGCACAGAGATGTCTTGGGGTCATAGATCTTGGGAGAGGAGGACAGACTTGGCATAACACCTCCAGAGAGAATGTAAAGGGAAACAGAAAAACCAGCCTGACCGTGGCATGCTGTGTCACCAGAYGTGCCTGATGGAGACCGAGGAAAAGGAGGAAGAATCCAGCTCCCTCTCAAATGACAAATCAGAGACTAACTCACGTCGTTGCCTCCGCTATGTGCCCCTTGGGATAGCCCTTCTTGTGCTGGCTGGAGCTGCTGCAGCAACCTGGTATTTCCTAGGTAAAAATTCACCTTCTTTCCCCGCTGCAGGAAGTGGATGGGGGGTGGTAAAACAATGCCCAGCCCAAAGCACATTAGTGACTCTGGGTGATCTTTAGACACTCATACACAGGGGTAACCCCCTCTTTCCTACATACCACCAAGGTAGCCCAGTAGTGTCTTCTCTTGGCAGACTACAGACCATGGCACCTGGAACCATCCATCCTGCAGTTTTACTGTGGCAGCCTCCAGGTCCTCAATCGCCGCTACTCCCCAGACCTTGGGCAGGTGGAGTCCAGAGCCTTCTGGGTGGAGTCAGCCAAGCTCCAGAACATGGTGAGGGCACTTTCACGAACAGAGCCAGCCCTGAGGCTGCTCAGTGAGTACAATGAGGAAGGGGTCAGGCACACCCATCCAAAGGCAGACTTGGGGGGTCTGTGCAGCAAGAGGATGAAGCATTGGATCAATCACTGTAACATTGCGTTGTAGTTATCAGACAATGTTCTCATTGCAGCTGAAGCAACTGATTCATGCCACAGAGCTGGGTCGATACTACAACTCGAGCACAGTGTATGCCTTTGGGTGAGTAGGACCCACAGCATATTTGCTTGTTCATGACTGAAAGCTTCCAGTAAATTGTACTCTGGTTTCACTGCAATCTGCCCAAGACAAACTTCTGYGGTCCCTGCCATGAGCTCCAGGCTAGGCTGGACAGTCCAGATCCAGAATGGTTTCAGCATAACAGAGCTGGGGATATTTTGATGTTCCTGTTCACCCCAGGTCATGATAAAAAGCCAAAACTGAGAAATTTTTCAGAGAGGCAAAAGTTCAAGGGAGTAAATAAAAAAAAAWTTTTGTGAAGAGATTAAAAAAARTTGTCTTGGCATTGTCAGTATAAGCTAAGCAGCTGGAAATTAATTTATCTAATTCAAGGAAGCTATTTTATGGCCTGAGTCTAGGCACCAGAAGGCAGAGGCCAGAATGCACCAAGGWAAAGTTATTCCAGCCAAAAAGCATGGGCCACCTGGGAACAGGGTAATAGTGGAGTGGGACAGATTTGGGACTACAGCTTTTCAAGTCATAACTACAGATCAGGATAGCAGAAATCATCTCCCAGCTGATGGTTGTTTGTTTCTATTTTTTTTCCTATGGTAAACCATACCCCTAAATTTGTCCCCCATCTAAGGAACATTCCAACTTYGATGTAATTCCATTTTCAACTGGGGAAAGAAAAGTTTCGCTTGCACATTTTCCTCTAGCCTTTAACTGAACAAAGGTGTGTTTCAACATCTTTTCACCCTCCCCCAGCCAAATTTCTCTGCCAGCTGGTGGAACAGAACTTTCCCACTCGCAGTCTCCTGCAGCTTTAGTCTGCCCAGCATTAATGGGTTGTGGTAAGGTACCTGGTCGTAAATCATCCACTTGTCACATTTGGGAGGTGAGACAGTGAAGTCTGGAGATTTTCTCTTCAACTCCTGGTCGGTAGTATCCAAAGGTCATTTCTATCTGAGATGAAACCACTCATTAGAGTAGTCTTGATTAATTATCACATTAATTTGAGCTCATATGGTCATCACTAAAGCCAGATGGCATTAAGAGGCTTCTTCCCATAAAGCAGACACTGACTCACACCATGGACATTTTAGCTCTCCTGCCCCACTCAGAGAATTCCCTCTGGGTCACAGCAGCAGAGCTGATATGCCTGATTTGTGGAAAAACAGGGGGGAGGGTTGATCTCAAGGTTTTGTCTGTCCAGTAATTCTGGAGATGAAGAGTAGGAATATTTTACATGCTATTTCTCTTTTAGGGAGGGAGCCCTGACCTTCTTCTTCTGGTTCACTCTCCAAATCCCTGAGAGTCAACAGGAGAAGGCAACTGCTGAGAGGGTAAACACACTGCTTCACCAAGAGCTCTCCACCATCTTCAACAACTCAGGCAGCCTGTCCTACCAGACGGAGTACAGGATCAACCCAGACTCTCTGGTTCTCCTGGGTAAGTGCCAGCTGCTCAGCTGTGGCCTGAGCAATCAGAAATGCTCCGTCTTTTATAAGCTTAGGAGAAAAGGCCAGGCATCATTATTGAAGTAGACAGGAAACCTAAGAGGATGAAGGAAATAGTAAGGATCAGGAAATACAATTACTCGCATTTCTTCCTGATGGAAAAGAACTTAAGTTTGATTTTTAATTACAAAAAAATCTTTCTTTTGAAGGATTAAAGATTATTGGAAATACAGAGGACCATGATCAGCTAGGTAATTTTTTTCACCCATCAGCTTCGGCTCTTGTAGTGCAAGATCTTAGACAGGTCATTACTTCAATCAGCTCAGCTTGAAAATACCAAGCATTTTAGKTTTCCTACTTTCCTTTGGGAGATTATTCCAGACTATTTGATAGAGAGAAGAAAAGCAACATATCTGAGTCACCACTAAGTCTTTTTCTGAGACAAAGTATCATTGTCACTTCCATTTTTGATATGGGATTTCAAGGATTATTTATTGTTGCCCACAGTGAAGGTCAGAGCCTGTTTAAAAAGCCACCCATACAAAACTGCTTTAAAATAAGCATTGGGTAAAGGACTAAGGATGCATCTATAGTCAATGCATACAAGTCCAGTGGAATTTATATTTGATCTTTATAATGAGACTTAACTTGTCAGCCTGATCTGATCCCCCTTACAGAGTACCAAATCTCACAGGTTTTAAAATACATTGTATTTCTTCTCTCTCAGGATCCCTATTTACAAGTTTCTTCTTCCTGTAAGATGTTACATCTCCAAGTTGGATTTTTTCCCCCCAGGCATGCTATCTTGCATTAGTCTAAAATGAAGCTTCTTTTATTATATTATACCCGTACTTTCTTTAATCTTTACCTCCACACCCCAATTGTTTTGTGGGTCATTTTTCGGTGTCTGTAAAGAAAATTTGATTTCCTGAAAATTATTTTCACTCTCTTATCCAGACCATAATTTTAAAATCTTACTCAGAGGCTGCATTAGCATTTCATCAAAACATCTCCTCCCACAGTTCCTTACTTCTACTTGTGATTTGTTTCCAGCATACCAGACCCTRTGCTCAGCCAGTTGAAACGAACTGGCTTAACAATGATATCACAAGRAAATAAGCTAAATCCTTCCAAATCAGTACATCGAGCATTTTCCTTTCATTTGCTCACATCATAATGCAGCTCATAAACAAATAAAAATGATGGTGCCATAATTTTAGCTGTTCCCAGTTCCCTCTTATTTGCTTTGCATCTGTTTCACTGTTTTATTCATTTCAGCAGACCACACTTCTTTCTATTTTGGACTTAACACAGCAGTTGTAGTTTCTCCACCTCCTTCTGTTTCTCCTAGTCCTTTACACCTCCCTCTGCAGTCAGAAGCACGTATGGTAATCGAGGCAAAAGCCAGAAACTCCTTACACTGCTGAGCCAGGGTGACCTCCAGCCAATGACTTAACCTCTGGTTTCATTTGCCCTGTGCAGTTAGAGTGAAAAAGCAGCTGGCTAATAGCAGGTCATTAGTACTTCTTTGATTTCTGACACACTCTTGCTTGCCTGCTGAGCTCTAAACGTTCACTCTGCCTTAAGACACAGAGCTACAAATCATTGACCAGCACAGGAACCTCTCCAGTACTCCAGTGCTTTTTTTTTTTTTACCAACAGCCACACTCACCCCAGGACACTGGCTTCCCCTTTCCCCAAAAGTCTTCCAGGACTTCCTTTTCCCTACAGGAACTCGGATTTATTTATTACCTTCAGATTAAAGAGTACTTAGCACCAGCTCTGCACAAACTATTCCCTACAGCATATGAGCATGTCTGGGAGCTTGCCTCATGCCTGTGGGGTCCTATTTTCCGCAACATCTGTTTTTGTTATGACAAAACCACTCATCTCTCCCCACAGAATTGCTTAGAAGCTACAGAAGACCAAAACCCTGACCTAGGCAAGSCCCCATCGGCAGTCCTCACACCCAGCTGACCTCACAGTGCCTTTTTATTTTGGCAATTTTTCCCAGTAGCACCTGATCTCTGGCTGATTCCAGTTCAGCTGGGAGGCTGGAGAAAAGCCCAGCTCTCTTCAAGTGTTGTCCACCCTGTGACTGTTTTGCAGAGATTCGTAGCCCTTGGTGGTCACTTTCTCTGCAACTCCTTTCTCCAAAGGTAGACTCTAAGGATTGCACAATGGTCACCAAAAGTGAACTCCTTCTCCACCCTCAGTAACTTACAATTAACCATCAGCCTGTATTTTTGAGTGGGCTTTCTTTAAACTGGGKCAAAACATGGTGAAGGCTCTGGGAAGTGGGGCTGTGCCCTGTCATGTGGCTGGCAGAGGAGGGMGATGACTGCCTGAACCAATGCCCAACCCTCCTGGGAAGACAAAGATGTCCTGGAACAGCACACAAAAATGGGAAAGGAAAAAAGGCAGAGAAGCCCCTGGTGGGCTGGAAAGCAYGAATTAGGACTGTTGGATTTGGGTCAGTGGCAGAGAAATTTCCCAGAGAGATTGGTAGGGGAAGGCATGACTGAAATAGGTCCCTGGGAGCAGACAGAGAGGTACCTGTTGAAGTTGGAAGTGAGCCAGTGCAGAAGGAAGGAAGGGAGTCCTCACCTGCCATGGCAGATTATCAAAGTATCTTTTTTTTATCTTTTTGTTTATCTTCCTTTATATATTTTCTTTCCAACAGAATCCAGTGTGAAAGACATAGTAGTGCTGAAATCCACTCTGGGTAGGCTATCTTTTCCTTTCCTTTTGATTTCATGACTTTATGGGAGGGACTTTCACTGGGGACAGAAAGCTTCTTGGCCTCCTGGAGCTGTAAATCCTGGGAAGGGGAGAGTGGTATCACAGTGCTAATTCCAGGCCCCATGCAAYGCTGCCGAGTGGGGTCAGTGTTTCCTGCGTGGCTCTGCACTGGATGTGCATCCTTCAGGAGTCTATTGTCTTGGTGAAGTTTGAAGATGCTTTTAGCAATTTCGGGCAGCATTTTAGGTTCTATGTCTGGCAGCTTGCATTAGATATGCTGTTAGAAACTCACTTTTAAGCTGATATTTACTTAAAAATCCAGRTGCCTTCTGAAACCTGGAATGCAGACGAGGGAGATGTAAAGCCAGGAAGAATATGGGGCTGAGAGGAGARAGAGGTGAAAAAGTAAATAAAACCAGTGGAAGATAACTGTTCTGTGCTGATATTTAAAACCTGAGGAAGTATTAGCTTAACCAAGGAAGAGAGGACAGTTCTTATAGGGAGAAACTGGGGCAGTGGTACAAAAGGATCAGTGCCACCACAACATATGTAAAAACAAACCGAAATCACTGGGATGAGTCAGCCACATTCTAAAATAGGGCTTTAATGTTCCAAGTGGCAGTCCTAATCTTAACCTCCCTTACAACTACCTCTCTTTCAGGTTGCTATAGGTACAGCTATGTCCAGGAGGATGACATCCTAAGGCTGGAGGGCCCTGACTACCTGGCATCCAGCTGTCTTTGGCACCTCCACAGCCTCAAGGGCTACATGATCAAGCTACGGCTGGAGTGGACCCTCCCTGAYTGCAGGGACCGCCTGGCAATGTACAACGCAGCTGGGCCCCTGGAGAAACACCTCATCACCTCGTAGGTAGCTCCTGAGCAGGGAGAGCAGAGTGGGGAGGACAGGCAGGACAGCACAACACACCACAGCAGGGGAAGGTGTCAGACTACATCAGRGGAGGCTCTCTTTGATGTACAACCTGCCTCTTGCTGATCAGCTGAAGTCACTGATGTGGGATGTGTCTCGCACAGCCATGCAGCAGGAACTGTTGCTCTTGGCCTTTTGTTTGGTTCAATCAGTGCCTCACAACTGCTGTGTGTGGATAACACAGATCTATATTGTCTCTCTTTCTCTGTGTCTGGCTTCACTCTCATCCTTTTATCTCTTTCCTCTGAGGATCTATGGCTGCAGCCGGCAGGAGCCCATCGTGGAAGTTCTTTCCTCTGGCCCTGTCATGTCGATTGTGTGGAAGAAAGCCATGTACAGCTACTATGACCCCTTCATCCTCTCAGCACAGGTGGTGCCCCTCGAAGGTAAGGAAGGCTGGAGGAAGGTAGTTTTAGGTGCAGGGAGAGGACAGGTTATCTCCTACAACATCACAGCTCCTAGAGGGTCCTTCACCCCTGTTAGGGACAGAATTCACTCTGGATTACAAGGGTGCTCAGTAAAAGGGAGGTGAGGTGCTGCTCCCTCACTTGGACTCACAGACCAGCACGTGGTTTGAGTCTTTACAGCCCAGAKGCTGGCAGATAGACCCTGAGGGATTGTGATGATGAGGAGAAGGCCAAGCTCTCACGCATGGACAGGCCAGAGGTGGCCTGGACATCACATCCACATGTGCTTGCAGATGTCAATTCAACGTAAGACTCTAAGGCAGCGAAATTCATTCCCATCATCCTTCTCTGGACAAGAGGAGGAGGCAAAAAATCTTGCTGGGTRGAAATGGCAGCTTGAAGGGAGATGATGGAGCACCCCAGTCATCTTTAGCATCAGGCATTAGAGTTCCTTCTCTCCTCCAGTGGGCTGGATACAYGGCACCCCAGGCTGAGGCTGAGCTGACAGAAAGCAGGGCTCTGAATGTCTGTATTTACAGCTTGTGAGGTGAACATAACTCTGCGGGAGAGCCTGGAGCCGCAGGGGAAGATCAGCACCCCTCACTACCCCAGCTACTACTCGCCCAACACGCAATGCACCTGGCACATGATGGTAAGAGACAGCTCCCACAAGAGCATCCAGCCTGTCCTCAACACCTGGGCAGTGGTCCACACATTGTGGTAGSTGCAGCCAGGGCTTTCATCATAAGAAGCAAGCAGAGAGAGGCAGCCTACCCAGCCTACCCATAAGGTGTATTTCTGAAGGGGAAGGAGTCTAATATGGCATACCAGCACAGAGATGCCATAGTTGAGGAGGAATCTCCAGAGGAGTTCTGTTCTCCAGAGGGGTTGTTCAAAACAGAAACAGATTCCTAGGAATTTCCTGGCTTTGACACCAGCAGCAGAACCACCCTGGGCTGTTGCATGATCCCAGTTTAGAGGGTGCTTTTTTCTGACCTGCAGTGACTGGGCCTGTCTGGCTTTCACATCTGTTCTGCTCATTTCTGGCTCATGGAGTGTGCTGTAACACTCCTAGGAGCCATCTGCCCCTTGCTCTGCATCCCCTGTAGGTCCCCTCCCTCGACTATGGGGTCACCCTCTGGTTCGACGCCTATGCACTCAGCAGACAGAAGCACGACCTGCCCTGTACCCAAGGCCAGTGGATAATTCAGAACAGAAGGTGTGTGGTGGGGTCCTGGTTCCTGTCTCCCACTTCCCTCCTGGGACAAAACTGGGATTAAACCTCTGCAGGTTCCCTGCTCACTTCAGCCACCATATCTGATAAAGAAGAGCCACACACTGAGCTATGCTCATTGGCCACTGTGCTGGTGCCTCCTGCTTTTCTGCTTGTCTTGTACACTTTCTCCCCAGTGAACACATTTCTTACAGATTTGCTTCAAGCTACCAACCCGTTTTCTCTGTCTTGCTGTTTGCAGCAGGCTTCTTAGTTTTCTCCTGTGTGTGTAACCTTGGTGTCCTCCCACGTCTCCTGTGTTTGCAAATCTGCCTGTCACCACCTCTGCAATATTATCTGTGTGTGCCATTGCCTTGCATCCACCTCCGTACAGATCTTCCCCTTAGCTCCAAATCCTTCTGCTTTTACTGCAGCCACTTSCCCCTGCAGGACTTACCACAATTAGCATCTGCATCTAGCAGGGCTGCTGCTCGCCACTGCCCAGATGCAAAGGATGCAGAGTTGCTGTGCTCCCATCTGTTCAAAGCAGGCTCTGAGATAGATGGACCTACAGCTTTTCGTTTTCCTCCCACTTAYTGCAAAATCGCCTGTTTCCCACCAAATCCTCCCCCAACCTATCTAATTAGTGTTTTCTCCATGGTTCCTGTAGAAGAACTTGTTTTCCTATGAAGTGTCAGATCCAGAAGCTCTGTTCCCCTGCCTTAGGATTTCCACTTTTTCACTCCTTGCCTTTCTCTCTTTAACTGTCAGTGCCAACCTTTCTACAACATGCCTTCTTTGGGACGATAACAAAGGAGAATCTTCTTGCACTGTAAGAGCTGAACTGTTTTGCATACCCTGATCTCAGTGCCTGCCAGGAAGTGGGAAATGTCCCAAGACAGAGGGTCACTCAGGACCTTGTCTCTCGGGAATATGGAAGGCATTTTGTATTTGTGTTTTCCCTACAGCATGCAGTCTGTGTGATCCCCTTCCCACCCCAGCCCCACTGAGCCCCTTGCCCTGCTCTGTCCCCTGCCTCCCTGTCTGAGCCACCTCACCTGTGTTTGCCCCTCAGGTTGTGTGGCCTGAGGACCCTGCAAGCCTATGCTGAGAGGATCCCAGTCACATCTTCTGCCGACATCACCATCACCTTCACCTCACAGATCTCCTTAACCGGCCCAGGCATACAGGCAGCTTACAGCCTGTACAAGCAATCTGACCGTAAGCCCGGGTTCCTCCCTGCTCCTTGGTGGGGATCAGCAGCCCCTTTGCACTTGGCTTGTGCCAGGAGAAACACAAGGCACAAGTGGGCCCTGAGCACCATCCATCCTTCAGGAAGACACTCACAAATCAGTGACACACATGCCACTGATCTCCCCAAAACAAGAGGCAATTACATTCAAAGCTGCTTGGCACGTGTGGCCCTGTCTCTTGTAGCCAGAGCCTCAGCGACAAAACCCAAGGTCACATGGTTGCCTAAAATCTTAACCTCGTGTCCACATCATGGACTGGGAATTTAAKGAGAAACCACCTTGCTTGAAGCAACATTTGTTTTGATTACTAGATCTCTGAGAGAGAGCTCTTTCCTGCTCACCTTGGAATCTGTGCAAACAGGAGATAAATAAAACCGCACACAAATACACACACACACACATATGCAAATGCYGCCCACAGTCTGTCTTTCCAAGRTTTCACCATCTCCCTCCTAAGGGTGCCAGTAATGCACACCAGTCCCTGAATATGCGCACCTGTCAACGTGTCTAACAACAACCCCTTCAAGGTCCCACGTAAGCTTTCATAACAACTCCAAAGAGCCCATTTCAGCTTTCCTGTGGTGTTCAGGAGGCATGAAACCATGCTGATCCCAAGCTATGGCATGCCAGACAGGTGGTTATCCTGGCTATTGCCCATAGGTACAGTGCAAAACAGGGAAAGCCCTCTTTCCCTTGGTGCATAGCCTGGCTCCATGTGTCCCTGTTAAGAGCAGATGATGTGGCAGATTTTGGGGAGTGCAGTGAGTGCCTCCACCACACTGCAGCAGCACTCATGTGGTCAGGAGGGTGTGCAGCTCCACGCTTTGCTTTTAAGCCATGGTGTTCTGCTGCCAGGAGGTTTCCAGTCACTGGCGACTAATTTCTCTCTTTTGGTTTCACAGCCTGTCCTGGGGAGTTCCTGTGTTTGGTAAATGGTTTGTGCGTCCCAGCCTGTGATGGGATTAAAGATTGCCCCAATGGGCTGGATGAGAGAAATTGTGGTGAGTGAGTTCTCCCTGCTGGTCCCTGGCCCTAGTGGAACAAAGCCACTAGCTCCTTCAAAGGCAGGGAGAGATGGGGARGATTGCTGAGACACAGCCTCATACCTCCCCTTCAGGAGCTTAAACCTCTGTGCCCTTAAAAGTCTCATCCCAGTGCTGTGTGGCTTTAGCCTGCTCCGAAAGGAGTGGAAATTCTCCTGGCTCCTGTACACACCACAGCCTTCCCGGCTGCGTCCCCTAGTAGCCAAGAGCACCAAGAGTTCTAGGCAGCCTGAAAGAAGCTCCCTATCCAAGCTGTCCCCCACCTTGTCCTGCTTTCCTCCCACTCAGTCTACAAACAACCTCAGCCCAGGCCTACAGCCCCCTCTGCTGTCACACCACTCCTCATTCCCCCTCCCCGCTCACACTTCCCCCAGCCCACCCGCTGCCCTTCTCTCTCCCCTTTCCCCCAGGCCATTTGTGACACTTGCTCTGTGCAGATCCTCACTCACAGGTTTTGCCCCAGTTTGGGACCATCAAAGTTCTTGATCASCCTCAATCAGTTCTTCATGCTGAAAGCAGTTAGTGATGATGCTGACTCCATCCTTAGCATCCCAGAACTCCTGCAGAGCCCCATCCTCATAGGAATAGCAATTCAGGCTTAGACATGACACCTAATTCATCTATTCTCTCATCTCTGGTGTGATGGGGGGGCTCATCACATTGCTGCCAAAACTAACTTTCCATCACTTCTTTCCTACAGATGTTTTTTCACAGATAAAGAGMCCCAAACCACTGGAAACAGTGATCAATTTTAAAAGATTCAGGGGAAGGTGTAGGAAAGTCTAAAGTCAAAGGAAGGAGAAATCTTTCTCAGGGAAGCTTTATTTCAGTGCTAGAAATGTGAGAGCTCTCATAGGATTGCCAAAGTTGGGTTTTGTATTGTCTGTAGTCTTGATGATAATGTGCTGTGCCCCATCATCCAGCTGTCTGACATCAGTGTTTCCATGCTTCCCTACTGGAGACATGGATACATTTGCATCCTTATGAATATCTAATCCTTTCTTGAATCCTAGTAGCTCCTTGGCCCCAGGGATATGGTGTCCTTCGGTTCCACAGGTTGACACAGATCAAGACTGACAAAAGCCCCACACTTTCTTAGCGTTTTCACACATCACTTTATATTTGAAAAAATAAATAGAAACTTTATTCTTTCCTTCCTTTTTTTATGTTCTTGCCACTTTTGCATCTCTGATTATTCACTGTCTGTCTGTATGGAGCAGTCTTTGTCTTTAAAATCAAAGTTCAGGTTGCCTCAGATGTTCAGTTTGCCTCGGACCTTCATGTGCCTTTAGTCGTCTGAAAGCCGCGTGCTAATTAACAAAGAAATTATAGTTATTGCAGTAAAAAAATGATACACACAAACAGAACAAGTGCCTATTATGGAAATATCAGAAGCCAAATTCTGTGATGGGCAGGCAGCTTAGACCCATCTCCATCCTCCAATGTCCACCAGAACTCAGAGACATTGCAGTTGTTTGGGACTCAGCTGCAAGGGGAGGTCTGGTCACATATAAAATAGTGACCACAAGCAGAGGGTGACAGCAAGGCAGGAGTGACCTCACCAGACAGGATGCAGTCCTACAAAACCCTAACAAACCAAGCAGACCAGGACTGGCGGTGGCAACTGAGGACCTCAAGGCAAGTACATAGTGCTAAGGCACATCTGAGGATGAGACAAGAGAAGTTAATTCAGCAACAGCAAAGTGTAAGACAGTATAGGCTCACCTACAACGCAAAAGCTACAAAGCTGCAATGTACCAGAGCTGGTCTAAGCACAGCTTTTGGGTGGGGGAAGAGGCTGCAGAGACTACCAGTCTTAGGACCTTGACCTCACACCTCATCTTGCATGTCTCATTCCCATATGCTTCCCTTCTGTGCAGTGTGCCCGGCAATGTTCCAGTGCCCTGAGGACAGCACTTGCATCGAGTTCAGCAGGGTTTGCAACCAGCAGCTGGACTGTGCCAACGGGAGCGATGAGGAGCACTGCAGTGGAGGTAGGGAYGGGACAGTGCCGGGTGATAAATGCCTTCTCCTGTGTTCGAGCCAAAGCTGTCTGTAGTGTACTTCTGGGATGTAACAGAAGGGCACCAGCTTGGGAGTTAACTTGTCTGGCCTCCTCGCAATGTTTGTGAGCTGGATTTTTTTTCAGGAAATTCCCTGTCATCATTTATGGAGTTCTCCCAAGCTCTCTGCTGCCCTTTCTCCTCAGTTAAAGRACTTCAGGTTGCATCTACAACCAGCTGCCCTCTCTCACCCTTGGCTTCCCTTCCTTTTTTACAGGRGTCCCCTGTGGTCCTTTCACCTACCGCTGTCAAGATGGGACCTGTGTGAAGAAGCCCAACCCCCTGTGTGACACCACTGCAGACTGCGAGGACCTGTCTGATGAGAGTCACTGTGGTGAGGAAACCATCAGTCAGTCACGCGGGTTCAGGATGACACGTAGCTGCAAGCTGCCCCCTTTTCTGCTGCCACCCAGAAGAAGCACCCACCCTTCCTTGTTCCACCACCTTCCCCCCACCCCAGTCCCACAGTGTCAGTGCCCTTGCTCCATCCTGCAGTGGCAGGGACAGCAGCAACGAGCCGACTCTGTGCTGAGCCGTGAGCAGGCACTTGTTCTCTGGACAGCTGCTCCCTGTCTCCTTCAGGCAGAGGCATCAGGCCAGACAGACATGTCTTGCAGGCCAGGTTCAGCCCACAGACTGCCTGTTTGACCACTGTGTTGGCTAATATGCCATCGTGCAAGGCTGCAGACAGGAAAATCAGCCACATCTGCATAGCCACTGGCAGGGAGGGAGTTTATGTTTTGATTTTCCTACTTGTTTTTTTCTGGAGCCTGGGTAGGCAGTGACAGGGAATGACTGGGAGCRTTTCCTGACAGCACAGCAGGTAGCACAGTCAGCATGATGCCCCAAAGGCAYCCCCAGGCTGCAGCTGAAGGTGGGGAATGCAGGCAGGGAGTGTTCACTAGACCTGTCCCGAGCAGTACATAGCACCTGCTGGCTGGGTAAGATGTGCAATTGGAGGTCAAACTCTTCAGTCTACTAAGTAGAAAAGGAAGGGCAGGCAGAGTGTATCCATGTTGCCTTCCTTCCCTGAAGTACCTGCTGTGTCTCCTCCTCAGACTGTGGGATGCAAGCCCCTCTCAGCAGGATTGTGCGTAGTATGAATTCTGTGGAAGGGGAATGGCCATGGCAGGCCAGCCTGCAAGTTCGGGGCCGCCACATTTGTGGGGGAACACTCATTGCTGACCGCTGGGTGGTCACAGCAGCGCACTGCTTCCAGGATGAGAGGTAAATGGAGAGGGGAGGTGCTGGATAGAAAAATTTGCATTGCTTTCCATGTCATGCATGATTGAAGGCTGTTCTGACTGAGGAAAATGTCATAGGGCAGCTGCACCCCTCATCTGGCATATCAGCCATGCTTTTCCATGGCTCAGAGCTGAAGAAAGGGGTATGGATACATGCAGCAGTATTTGGGGGTGCATGCAGGGAGAAAAGGGGCAATGTTGGGATTCTCAGAGCAGCTTTGAGGGGGCAATGGCTGTGGAAGATGCTTCACAGCTCCACCTTAGTTTTGGCTCTGCGTTGTCCCCATGCTGTCACATGATGGAGATGTGCTAGGATGGGAATGGCATTACCTGCAAAGCATGCTCTTTGGGTCCCATGCCCCTCTGCTGCATCCTACAGGCTGGCCTCCCCCTCCATCTGGACCATTTACTTGGGCAAATACTTGCAAAATGCCACTGGCCACACAGAGGTGTCCTTCAAGGTTATCCATCTCTTCCTTCACCCTTACTACGAGGAGGACAGCCATGATTATGATGTGGCCCTGCTCCAGCTGGACCATCCTGTGATCATCTCGCCCTTAATCCAGCCCATCTGCTTGCCAGCTCCTTCTCACATCTTAGAGCCCGGCCTTCATTGCTGGATCACTGGCTGGGGAGCCCTCAAGGAAGGTGGTAGGTTCAAGATCTCTTGGTGAGCTACTGCAGCAATGCTGAGGCAGAAATATAGATTCAGGTGTGTCATATGCAGAACAGGCTTCTGTTCATCCCAAAATACTGTGTCTCCTACACTCCTTTAGATTTTGGGTAACAATGTTGATCAAAGTTATCTTCCCTGAAACCTCACTTGGTGAGGCAGGCACGGCAATCTGGTAGTATATATGGAGACACTGTGTCTTTCTTCACCCAAAGGCTAGAACAGCCCTTCAGGTCATCTTAGTGCCTTCACCCACTCACAGACTTGTTCCAGCTGCTTCCTAATTGGAAACCTCAAGAGATATACAGAACGTTCCTGGACACTCCTGGTTTGTATTCTTAGACAGAAGATCTTAACAYCCATTTCAGTGAGAAACAAACCCAAGACTCTGACAACCCAGAGGTTTCCCCAAAGCAGAATACTCCTTGTCCCAAAAGCTGAAGTGCACACAACATATCCCTGTAATGAAAGGAATGAAGAAGAATTTTACTCCTTCCATGCAGAAAAAGTGCTTTGCTGAAAGTCAGAGATTGTGATGTCAGTGGAGAGCAGAACAGAAATTCCAATGGCAGGTTTCAGTATGCAGTGAGGTAGGCATGGGCTGGGGGATTGTGGTAAACAGTGGGAAGTTCCACCACAGCTCACCTGCACTACTTTTGGTGCTCTACCTTTCAGGGCACATCAGCGATGTTCTGCAGAAGGTGGACGTGCAGCTCATCCAGCAGAACATCTGCAGCGAGGCCTATCACTACATGATTACTCCCAGGATGCTGTGTGCTGGGTACTACCAGGGCAAGAAGGATGCCTGCCAGGTGACAGATGAATTGTGGGATCAGGGTTGACTACCAGAAGGTGGGATGAGTCCCAAGTCTCACAAATGCAATCCTGAAATGAAAGAMAAAAGACCACATAACGTAACTTACCCAACACTTCTTCTGGTCTAAGCAGCCAAAACCAGCTCTCATGACCACTTCTTCCCAGCATCCTTRCCTTAGACAGGATCCAAATACAGTTAAACATACCCTTTTCTCACTTTCAGCCCATTCTCCACTCTACCTTCCACTTTCAAGTCAAGTGACTACATCAGTTTCTTACACCCTCAGCCTCTTTAGCACCTGTCATACACAATAATCTGTTCCTTCATTACCATCAATCCCAAGGAATTCCTCTCTGCCCCCCCTCATGCAATCCAGCTGGTTAGATTCCACCAGCTTCCTTGCTTGTCACATATTTGGAAATGCAATACAGAGCAGAAAGAAACAGTAGAGCAATCAGCTTCTTGGGACCTGGCTGAGGAGGAGGAATTTGCATGATGAAGGGATAAATGAGTCAGATGTTTGCACTGGAGACTGTTTTTGACCTCTACCTAAGGTACAAGGAATGTAGCAGATGTCCAAGGCATGAGTTGAGGGGATACAGGAATCTTCATACAGAGAGGGCTCAAAGACAGCATAATCAGGCAGCAGCAGAAGCTGGTGGGTCACCATCACTTTATTTTATTTTCCCTTCTTCTAGGGCGATTCTGGAGGTCCACTGGCCTGCAAAGAACCCAGTGGCAGATGGTTTCTGGCTGGTTTGCTCAGCTGGGGAATGGGATGCACGCATGCAAATCACTATGGAGTATACACCAGGATTACTCAAGTGTTGGGCTGGATGAACCAAACCATGAGCTGAGAAAAGTGCATCTCTGCCTTCTCCCCATAACACCTACACTCACATGGCACCCATTCCTCATCTTGCTCACTTGCCTCTCAGAGAGAGTGTGGGATGTTGTCAGACCCAAGATGCTCTTCTGAACAGGGTAAAAAAACACTGCCACAGGGATTGTAGAGAAAAGCAAGCAGACCCTCTTCCCCATCAATGCTTCCCAGGGAGCGTCCCAAGGAGTTTTTAGGCCATGGGTCCAAAAGAAGGGGGAAGGGAGGGAGGTGGGGGAGTTGGGGGCAATGACATGACACACAGCAATAGTCCCAAGTTGATGATTTCTGAGAAGAGGAATAAGGGGAGTTGAACTTTCCATGAACCATGATTCAACCATAGTCTTATGCTGGAACATTTGCTGAAAGAAAATGTGACTGATGTAGTTAGAGATTCCAGTAACTGTAAAATCAATCTGCCTCCCTCTTCCTTCCTGCTGCTTATCCTTCATCCCCCTTCCCCTCCCATCACTCCTCCTCTTCCATCTCCCTAATTGCTTCTTTTCTTAGCTGGTGTGTGCTGTTCAGTGTGCTGTTCAGCTCAGCCAGGCAACTTCACGTCTCACTGACTCCCAGGCATGAGTCCAGCATTGCACCCCCAAGCACGTGTCCTGCCTCCCTGCTGGAGCAGCACCCAGCCTCCACTGCTGTTCTTCCCCTAGTAAAAATGCTGGAGGAGACTCCCATCCCCTTCCCGCAGCCCTTCCAAATACCTTTAACATCAGGGCATCACAGATGCTTCCATCTCCTATCTCAGGTAATCCAGGAGGTGAAGGAGAAAGCTTCAGAGCACAGGGCTAAAACTGCAGCTGCTGCGAGCTTGTTTTTTTAACTAAAGATATACGTGTGTGTGTGTGTGTGTGTGTGTGTGTGTGTGTGTGTGTGTGTGTGTACACACAATTGGCCACTCTCTGGCATTAGAAATAAAATTCATTTGAGGAATTTGCTTTACTCTAGTTTGCTTCACTCTGCTAAAAATTATCTTGAAGTTTATATGTTTTTAACCAAACCCTAGTCCTGGCACTGGCAACAGTTTCCATACCTCTGCCCACCTCCCCACCCCAGATGTCCCTGGGGTCCATGTGTTTGCCAAACAGGTGGTCCTCACTGATTGTTATGACTTAAAGGTGCAAATACCAACAAGAAAACCTGCTCTGTAGCCCAGCTGCCTGCAGTGGGGATGCAGCACAGACACAGAGGGAAGCACCTCTGGCTCCCAGAAGACAGGCACAGCACAAGCAGCTTCTGGTGGCTCCAGGTGATGAATCCAAACTCCTTTTCTCCAGCTCCCACCCCCTTACACCAGCAATGAATTCTTGCCACTTGAAATGAGAGGCAGCAAGGAGGAACAGACTGTGAATTTTATTCAGGAGTCTTCAGACACAGCAGTGAAGCAAATGCCCTGCTCCCCAAAATCGGGATCTCCCGGTGCTGGCTGACACAACATTAGGTACCAGCATGTTCCTGGTATCCAGGTAGCACAACGTTCTCCTTCTCACATTGCTGGCACAAGGCTGCTTTGGGGAACAGGGAGGGAGGCACCAAGGAATATGATACCCAGCACAGGGACACCTCCGAGCAATGCAGGTGGCCCAGAAAAGGGTGGTGGCTCTGCATTTGCCCCAGGCCACAAGCCCAGACCCGCTGCCCGCAACGGTGAAAGGGCGAGGACTGGTCCTTCCACATCTGCCATCACCTCGGTCCCCRTTTGCATCCAGGGCTCAGGAAGGGACTGCAGGATGCAGTGGCTGATCACGGATGTCCCCACCAGGGGCCACTGTGACATTAAGGAAAGCCAGACTGCCAGGCATAGGAGGGAGCCGTGGGCTCCAGCCCGTACAGCACACCAAGGGCTCCATGGAGTATCTGCCCCTCCTCCAGGGCTGGAAGCTCAAGCCTCCGAGGTGAGTTTGTAAAAAAAAAATGAATGCATGTGAAGAGTGAAGGGGCCTGGGGGTGTCAATGTGGGGCAAGGGGCTGCCATACACTGCAGTACAAAAATAAAGATACAAACAAGAAATGAAAAGGCTGGAGTGGAGCTTTCAGATCACATCCTCATATCTCTGGCTTGTAACAGCTAGAGAGGGAGAGAGAAAGAGAAAAAATCAGCGGTAGAAAAAAAAAGCAACTGAGCATGGAGGGGAGAATGAGAAAGAAAAAGGAAAATTAGAGAGGAAACAAGAACAGAAGACAAAAGAGATGAGGATTGAGGGTGGGAAAACAGAACAAAAGGAAGAAAAAGTCCATGTGATTAACATACACTGATTCTTAAGATAATAACACTAAGGCCCCACAGCCATAGACAAGGAGGCTTTCAAACAGGGAGAGAGAAATGTCAGCCAGCTAACAAGTGCCCTCCATCAGGACAGTTTAACAAGAGCCTCACAGTTTTGCAGTACAGAGAGGAATCCTCCTTCTAATGCTTTCTGTACCCAGCCCCATGCATGTCCGCCAGCCAGCCTTCCTATGCAGGAGGCAGAGCAGAGAGTCTCATTTTACACCCAGCTGTGAGAACATCTGCAATGGGGACTGGCTGCTTTTGTTCTGCCTCTGTCACCTTTTTGACTGCACTCTCACTCTGGCAGAGCCAGTGGGGGAAAAGCCCAGGAAAGTGAGAGCAGGGAGGTAAAAACAACAGGCTGCCTTCTGCAAACTGGTCCTGGGCTGGCAGGCAAAGGAGCTGCGGACGGCAGTCTGGAGAAGCGATCTGGCATGTGTGTCATGCAGACACGTGGCACAATTCCACCCCTTCCCCAAACCACCCCTGCCTGCTTTGCATTTATTTCCACCGCTCTCRCAGCTGCACTCTCCTTTCTGCTGCCAGAGCCTCTGGTATAGAGCCATAGGATCTGCTTGGCAGGTAAGGCACACATTGGATGAGAATAGGTAAAGCCACCTTAGGGATGAGTCAACCTCACCTCCCTCCTTCCCCTCCCCAAGCTCTACAAACCAGGGCCATACCCACAAGAGGGAAGTGAGTCACTCATGCAGAGCTCAGGCTGGCAGGAGCTGGGAGTGCAGACAGGTAACATACCTGCAGAGGAGGAAAAGTGAGGAGCAGAGAGAGACAGGGCCCTGGGCAGAGACCACTCTGAGCCCTGGGGGACAAAGAGACAGAGGGAAGGATGCTGGAGGCTGGCGAGTGGGGCAATGTGGGAGGTAGATGACAGTGCTGGGATGGACACGGAAGGGAGCAGGAGGGAGGGTCCACAGGAAGAGAGTTTAGCACAATCCCGAATAGATGGACAGTCTGCAAATAAAAATAAAACCGTAGATAAACCAAACTGTTTAAAATACAAAGCAGCAGCCATGGTAACAGCTCTCCCCTATCAGCTTTATCTCCAGAGACTCCAACTGCTGGAGAGGACAGCCCCCACACCCCACACCTGCTCTAGTCCTTCCCTGCTGCTAGCTGTGAGCTCTCACCAGAAAGGTGGACGGGTCTATGCCTGGGGGATTATTTTTATCATTTTCCTCAGGGATTTTCTGCACCTTTCTCCTCTGCTTCTGCTTCTGCCTCTGCCACTGCCTCCTCCTCCACCTCCTGCTCTTCCTCCTCCAGGTCCTCCTCTGTGCTCTGTGGCCCAGCATGCGGGACAAAAGGAAGAAAGAGTAGAGATACTTGCAAGATGAGCCATGGCAGTTCTTTCTGACACACAACAGAATAAAGCAATTGTCATAGCGCTGGAATAAAAAGGGATCTTTCCCCATGGCCAAGACAATTCTAGGTCAGGGAACAGAGAGACTTGTTTTCCTCTGGAGCATCACATCAGGGGCATCTGACCCACTTACAAGTGCTGTGACACCACTGCCCAACAACTGCCATCAGTTGCTAGTGTTCCTTCCTGCATCCTGGGTGTCTACAGTATGTCGTGCACTGCCACATGTTTCTGTCCTTCCCTCAAAAGGGGAGCAGAAGATATCCACCCCTCAGGCTTGAGACTCAGAAAAAGGAAAGAAGATGCCACAAAACCTTCAGGGAAATAACTCTCTATAGGCAGTGACATGCACAGAATGGGCATGAGGAGCATGGGGGGGATGTTAGAGTAGCATGAGAAGTGCCAGGGTGACTTGCTAAAGCCATTTGCCACACACAGCCACACACCATCCCTCCAACAAGCACACTCCTTCTTTTGGGCAATGGGTGTAATGCCATGGTGCTGAACACCAGGATAGGCCCCTCTATTTCACCACTGAGGTACCTCACTGTCACAAGGAAGAGAGAAAAAAGAGAAGGAGCAAAAAGCAAAGAATCTTATACGCGACGGGAGCAGGGCAATAGTAAAGTTCATCTCACCTTGGCTTTGTGGCTGGGCTCTGAGTTCAGGCCATTGGGGGAGTTGTACAACTCCTTGGAGACCACGCACAGGAATTCTGTCTGATCCTCATTCCCATAATTATAGGATGAGCCAATGTTCACAAGCTAGAAAAGATAAGAGCAAGAATCACAAGCACATATTCCTGAAAACATTCCCTCCACTTGGGGAGCAAGGCAGAAAGCCCAYCATGCAGCATTGAGTCCAATCCATAATCCCAGTGGAAAGGCCTCCTAACTAAGCTGAGAAGACAACACAGAGAATCAGGAGAGAAGTTAGCCAGGATGCAAAACAGATTGGCCTCACACAGTATCCTCTAAACCTCTAGAAAGGGGCAAGAAAGAGCCAGTGTGATGGCTCCATCAATGACTTACCCAGTATTCTCAGAAACAGAAGGAGCCTTGCCTGGGAACAGCATGGTATCCACAATCTTTTCCCCAAAACACAACTCCTTCCCCTCCTGCTCTGCCTTATCCATACCTGCTCAAAGCGCCATCCATCTGACATAGTAGAAACCATCTGAGTGAGCTCCTCTTCCTGGCACTGCAGCACACGGTAGACATGCTTAGGAGGCACCTGAGAGCAGAATTGCAGAGCACACTGACAACAGTGACATGATAAAAGCTGTTCCCCTCCTTCAGAATAAAGTAGTAATACCCCACCTTGACCCCCTCCCTGTCCTCTTCCCCATGTTCCAGGTGAAAGGGGAGTGGAAATCACAATTCAACTTTTTACTGTGCTGCCTTTGGAGGCAAGAACAGTATTTCTTCTGGAGAGGAGSGACTGAGCTGAGTGCTTCCTGCATTGTCCCCAGAAGATAATGGCCTCCTTTGATGRAGAGTTTGCACTTGTCATTACAAAATCATTTTTGCAAATGCAGCAAATGCTGATGGGGCTTTGCAGCACAAAGTGACTGTGCTGCTGGAGGATTACAACCTGAGGCAGACATGACAGAAAGTGAGACAGCAGACAGTCCTSCCCCTAGGACAGATTTTCAAAGGTTGCTGGCCAAAATAGGGTGTGATCACAAGATTGATTCCTTGGCTGCATTTATCTCTTTCCCMTCCATCTCTTCACCTGTTTCCTCCAGGTTTCTCTACACGTATTACTATGCTCTTTATTGTGATTACACTCCCAGGACTCCACACAGCAGTCCTCCTCTCCATGACACTTTTGCTCTTCTCACAAACATTCCTCTATATCCCACAGCAACCAGCTGCCTTTTTCCAAAAATTAGAGAAGCTGATTTAGTTTCAGGGGCTACATCCATTACTTACTACAAGCTTGCAGTTTGTTTATCACAACTAGATTGATGGTAACTTGTCCACTGCAAGATTTTGTTGCAAAAGGATTAGCACATGACCTCTAATTAGTTGMCTCCTTCCATTCCTTGCTGCTTCTCTCAATCTTCTCTCAGTCTAGACTCATCTCTCTCCCTTTTTACATTCCAKGCTTGGCCCACTCTACTCTAGCTTGCCATACCTGTGTTACTGTGTAGTCCTTCTCCTCCATTCGATCCTTGATTATTCGGATCAAAGGCCCAATGTTATAAAACTCAGCTTCTTCGAGGATTCCTGAAAAAGACAGAAGGACCACAAAGACAGAAAGTTAGCAGCCCACCTTTATTTTTTAGCTTGACAAAGATCAATTCTGAGCTTCACAAGGTCCATAGGGAGAAATTATACTATTGCCTCACTTTTTAACAGGCTTGAAACTTCTTGCACAGAATTGATACTTGGCTCTCTGCATCTTGTTTCTAATGCTCACCCCAATTTCCTTAYACTGCCTGCTACTACAGACACTGGCACTGCCAGTGAAGGCTTGTGCTGAGGRCTGCTAATACCTTTAACAGATAACAGGCCACGGAAAACAAATGTAGGCTCCAGTCTCTCTCAATGACCTCTAGTTATCATCTTGCTCAGACTCTCTTATTAAAACAGAGAACCACAACTTGTGGTTCTGCCAAGTCACAAAAAGACCCTGGAAAAGCCTAGCTCACCTCCTGGGCCACTTGGAGTTGCAGTCCACACAGCTTTAAATTATCTTTAGCTCTCTTCCCTGTGCTTCAACTCAAAACAGGTAAACAGAAATGTTTTGGGTTTTTTCTCTATGGTGCTACATCCACCACCTCTCCTGAGACTCACCTGTTTGTTAACAGGCCTTTAGGAAAAGGGAGGTGGTTCCCAGAGGGTCAGTAAGGGTAAAGTGGCTAGGAGCCAACACTCAGATATACCCAGGGCAGTACACAGAAAACATAGGCGAGGAGATCTATCCTTCACTACCTGATACACTCAGACTTCTTCTGTGTCCCTCATTCAGCAGTGAATTGTCTAATAGGTTAGTTTTATGCTAGCCTGAATGTCTGCAGTAGGTAAAAAAGGAAATGCAAATGAACTGGACTCCTGTATGTTTTAGATTTGATATTAAAACCTGTGGATGAACTCTGTCTGACCTCAGGATGACAAGAAATGTCAAGTAGGAAACACATCAAAACTGGGCTTATTACAATCCTGTATCATTAGTTGGATATATTTTTTGAATTATAACTGATAAAACTGTTCTGAAGAAAACTTTCCTTGTTTCAGGTAAAAATGTGTAAAAGAGGCAATGTATAATGAACTTGCAGAAACTGTGTTTGGCAAGGGGTGGACAGCATAGCCTGTCTTTGGAATTGGCTCCTTATTAGAATCTAGCATCCAAGAAATAACAAGGCGTTGTGGACTTCTGGCTGGTAGCACTGTGATGTTACCAAATCATCCTATTGGACCCACAGTCAACCTCAAARGAGGGACTGGTTTGTCTGGCTTGCTTCACTGGAATTGCTGCAGACCACAACCCACYAGAGCACAAGCAGCATACAGTGCATATCACCGATTAATGATGATCTTTATTACAGCCAGTAGAAGAGAGGAGCTCAGTTTTTTTAGGTCTTCTGGGTTTTCATTCCTAATTAGAAACACTCAGTCATTAATAGAAAACTCAGTCACAGAGCATTGTTAAAAGTAGATCAGGAACATGTAAAAAATGGCTTATTGAGATGGCTCTGAGATCTTGCCTACTTCTCTCTTGGTGACATCTCTGCCACAACACCTGCAAGGATGCCTTCCTCATCTAGTTCAAATCCCTTTAGTAAAGGAGACATCATCATGCTTTGCAGGGATAGCTCTCTGAAATCCCCCCACATCAACATCCAAAAGGAGAACAAGAGACAATAAGGTTGACAATAAGTCCTATTTTTCCTGTCTACAGTAGAGATGGTATGTGGGAGGTTTCTGAGCTCCACAACTCACCCTCTTCAGCCATATCTTTATCCAGAACCAGCTTCCCATGACGGAGGAAATTCAGAATTGGTCCAAAGTAAGTGGGGTCTCGATCTATTAGGTAYGCACCAGTTTCATCCTAGCAACAGAGATAGATCACAAGGAGAAAAAACCCAAGGGAAACTTGCAACCAGCCCTCAAATGCCCCAGAATACAAGAAAATACAAACCTAAGCAAAAATGTCCACTATTTCTAAGATTCTTTGGAAACCATGGGCCCCTGAGAGTCCCTAGCCAAATCAGCCCAGCTTGGATTTCAACTCCTGTATTGGTCTGCTCAGCATGCCCACCTCAGCATGAATCAAGCTAGCTGAAAAAGGCCTCAGTCTCTTTGTGCAACTATGYGTCCAGGCCTGGTGTGAGAAAGCAGAGATCCCCTTACAGGGAACAAGGCTGAGTCAGCCAGACACGGCAGGGAAGCAGACCCAGGATGTGGGGCTACAAAGAGGAAGGAGAGCAGGAGCGGAGGGGAGATGGCCTCTCTTTTCCCCAGCTTGGGAAGGCAGGTGCCAGGCAACAACACAGCAAGTAGGATCTGGCATGGGGAAATCCTTCCCGGGAGAGCAGGGGAAAGGGCAGGCATCTCTCACTCAGTTACTCCAGCAGCTGTCGGGGTCTGGCTCCATCCCTGCATCCCTCCAGCCCTCCCCATGCTCCGTGGGGCACGAGGCGGGAGGCAACCCAGCTGCCTTACCCGGTCCGACTGCAGCTCCTCGCCCTGGCACAAGCGACACAGGAAAGATTTCTGCTCCCGACACAGGGTCTGCCTGGTGGTGAGGAAGACAGTGCCCCCCACATTGAGCCTCACCCACTTGGCCTGAGTGCCAGCAGGTGGCGGAATGTCCCAAGTGCAGCGTAGCCCCACGGCGCCCTGCATCTCCTCCCTGCCCTCCATCCTCATCCTCACCCCCACCTCCCCCACGGCGTGCAGGGACCGCCGCAGGTGCTGCCTGTCGGAGAATGCCGGGATCTGTAGTTTATCTGCCTCCCCCTCCGTAGCAGCCGTGTTTCCTCGGGGGGCAGGATCTTCCCTGTGATCACCAAGGGAGTTCTGAGAGGAGGAACATTGCTCTTGGCAGGAGGATATCACTGCGGCTACTGGGGTGGACAAGCCACAGCTCCACGGCGCTGGCAATCCCYGGCTTTTCCCCTGTTCCCGTTTTCACAAACCATGGGCTGGGCAGCGCTCCGGAGGTGCAGGGTATTATGCAAAAATCGTCGGCTTTTATTTCCATAGACATCCTCTCTGGCTCGTTAAAAGGTTCTGGGAACTGTAGTTTCGCAGAACGCACAAAAGGGTGATGGGAACTGTAGTTTTCCCAGCTCGCTGTTCCTGCAATAAGCATGCTGTAATGGAGGGGGCTGCACTGCACCACATGAGCCCAGCCCCGCGGCTGGTACTCCGCCTGCTTCCAGTCCTGGCTCTTGTCTGCAAGCTTCTTCAGAGACAGCGAGCACAACCTGCTCCCTGGCAGTCGGCAGATGAAGCCCCCAGCGCTGTACTTCACAGCATTCCCTTCAGGACATCCATTACCCCAGGCTCGAAGCTCAGTGCCGCATCAGTTGCCATATTTTCTTGCAGCAAAATCTACAGACAGTTGCCTTCTTGCTAACATATGTAGGGACACTTCTGGGAACTGTATTCTGGATCTGTATGAAGCGCTGGCAGGGGGCGAGAATAATTTTTCTTCCAGCTCAGAGGAGTTGCTGACTCAGCAAACTCCTCCCTTGTGCTACTCCACCAGCACAAGCCCCTCGTGTCCTTCCCCTGAGCTCCTGACATCCTGTTTGTGTCTGGACTACAGAAAGCTCCGACTGTAACTCAGCTCTGTGTGGATTTTACCTCTGCCCCCGACATAAATCACCCTCTGTGGCTGATGTGCCAATCCCATGTTAGGGAATCCAGCCCTGTCTCGGTCACTTATTCCTGCCAGGCCTAGCCTGGTGCTAAGCAGTTCATGCCCCAGGAGACTCTGTCCAAACACTTCTTGGCAGGGACAAGCTCTCTCTCCAGCTGCTCTGCCTTTCCCACTCCCACCTAAGCACAGCTGTGCTTGCCTGCAGCTCAAGCACTTTAAGAATGGAAAGGAAGGGCTGGTGTTTTTTGAGCCATGCCATTGTGGCTCAAAACCTTCCTCCCCCTAAGCAACTTCCTGGGTCTTCCTTGTCAGGGCAACTCAGCACTGCTGAGACATGCACTCACTTTCTTTTTCTTGTATCTAGATCTCAGCACCTTTTGAGATTGGGGAGTTATTGAGTGAAGAGGCTGGGTAAAGAGAAACATTGTTTTATTCTCATATTCCTTTTCTACTTGTCCTCCCTTCTTCTTTTACTTGCAAATCCTTCCCTTTTATTGTTACATGAGAAGGTAGCATGACCCTACCTCCAAATCACCCAGGATTTCCTTCGCAAAGATGGCATGTGTACTTTGCTCGGTCTGTGGAAGAGTGCCAGTGGGAGAAGAGGAAGAGAGGGTAACATGGAAAAGGTTTCAAGATTGCTGACCTTCAGCTAATTTAAGCACAGAAGCAATTGAGCAGCTCCAGGGTGTAAATTCAAATAATTTTGAACCAGAACTAGAGTGATCATTAACAGAGGGAGAATGAAAAAATACTTTTGCCTCCTATATGGAGGAGGCTCTGGCCAAAATTACTGCCCAGCCCTTGGACCAGTCTCCAAGGGCAGTAATGTGCATCAAAGCTGCTCAGACTAACACTGACCCAAGCTGAAGCATCATACAGTGCAACACAGCTCTGGGCTGTCAGACTGCTGTCCTAATTCTGGCTTGGAGTCAAACCACAGCAAAYTGGAGACCTCTGCCCTGCACTGGTGCATGAGGACTGCAGGACCCTGTCTGTACTGGCTGCAGCTCCAGCACAGAACTGGGGTAAGGACTGTGGCTCTGTGATATGAACACAGCAGTTGGGTGGCAGCCTATAGTCCCTTATCTCCCCCTCCAAGAAATCTGCCCTGCCTTCATATTTTTACCTTTTTCTACCAAGGGTTCACCCTTTCCTTTTTCTCCTCTCACATCCCCTCAGCCTCTTGCTCCTTTTTAGGTCTACCTCTTTTTCCCAATATCTTCTTCTCCAACCTCTCCCATGACAATGCTGCTCATGAGTCCAGGAGGGTCTATATTCAAGGCACACTTTCTTCCATCAATACCAGTCTCCACTTGAGAGGCTGGAACCTCAAGTCTTGTTCACCCCAGGCCATGGGGTGAAAAGTTAATTGCTTAACCTAAAGAGGTATATTGTGAGTAAGGAAAGATGTCAAGGAACACTGCTTCTACACAGAGTCTTTTTCTCTGCAACGTACAGCAAAAAAATCATTGAAAATGCACCAGGCCAGGGCTACATACAGATCTGATTGCACATTATCACCAGATATAGTTCTGAGATTCAATTAATATACACCTGTTAAAGTCCCCTAAAATCAAACAAATTAACACAGAAGTGAGTTTAAATAATCAGAGGTGTCTGGTCAAAGGTTGGACTTGATGATGTCGGAGGTCTTTCCCAACGGTTAATATTTTATGRTTTTATGACTTGTTCCTCCTACTTCTATGATAACTGTATATAAAACACATGTACAGAAACAGAGAGAAAAGCAAGCAAGATCTTACATGGGGCTGTGTGAAGGTGCAAGATTGTACAGCCCTGCTGGGTACCCAATGAAATCATGAGGACCATTGCACAGACAGATCAGGAGCAGGAAAAACTTGACAGCTGCTGGAGACTGGGCTGACCAAGAGGTGAACAGAGCAGAGGGTAAACCGGGAGTGTGTTGGTTCATCAGTCAGGCCTGCAATGCAATCCTGCAGAAGGCCACACACTGCAGTGCTCTGATGACCCAGCTTGGTACATGGCACATGATGCATCTCTAGCATTGTGGAGCTGCTCTTATGGAATTGTTGTGTTGTGGAGCAGCAGTGGGAGCAGGGATCACCATGTTGGCAGTGTCACCACTCTGATAGGCTGGGAACACATATCAGGGATTACATGGCATGAGGCACCTGAGAAGAAAGCAGGAAGAGCTAGTCAGCATGCCCATGTAGGATTGGTGCAACTCTCTTTTCTGCAGGAAGTGAAGAGAGGAACACAGGTAATGCTCTGACATTTTGCCATTAAGCCAACAATGAATTGGGCAAATAAAATTCCCTACACCAGATCTGGGGGTGTACACAGTTCACTTGTAGATAAGAGTCCAGCTCAACTGCCAGCTGAGCCAGGCATGTTGGAGCAGGAAGAGAAAGGCATGCAGGCAAGCTAATATTTCTCCAGCCCCTTGTGCTGCATCAGGTTTGTGAGCAATGTACCTCATGCAAAGCAGTGTGTAAAGTCAGTGTGTGTGTGCATCAGTCAATACCTTTGCTGGAAGGTTGCTGGGAGAAGGAGACAATGGTCATGTAGCACCCACTTGCAAGCTGGGACCAGGAGAGATGGACAGAACAGGAGAGATGAAACATCTGTGCAGATAATAGCAATTACCATGGCTCATGCAGTGCTCAGGCCAGTGAYGCTGGTAGAAGAAGGGCTGCTTTAGAATTTGGAAAAGTTTGCAAGGGAACAAAAGTTTGCTGGGAAATGAAGCGTGAAATAGTACAACCTGACTGCTAGGGAGCAGTAGGGAAAGAAGAGGAAGGCAGGTGACAAAGAAGACAAGTGAAGAACGGGGGACCATGGGATTACTTTTGACTAGACCAGACTTCTCACAGAACCCAAATCTCCTTCAGGACAAAARTATTGTAGATAGTAAAATACACCAATAAACCAACAGAGTTTACATGCTGGCCCAGGATTCTCAAATTTATACAGAGCTGTAAAAACTCTAGTCTCAAGTTAGCCACAGGTCAAAGTGACCTTCCTCCTATGTCAGGGCTGCTGTTTAAGCTACTTTTTGGCTACCATGAGCCCTATTCCATCAAAGCTATGCTATTCCCATTTCCCTGTGGCAAATTTTCCACAGGAAACTCATGAACATAAGTCATTATATCCACTTCTCCACAGCTTACAGTTTCTATAGGAAACCCACCCACTAAGTCTTTATGTCCCTGCAGAACATTTATAGTCCTGGTGTAAGTCCCCTCAGCTGTTCCATATGTCCAATAGCATCTGTTATTGCTCAAAATAGGTTTTTGCAGACTCCAGGCTTGAAAACATTGTCTTGGTCTTCACAACGTTCTCAGTGCTTTGCCTGTTCATGAGAACAGATCTCAACTTAAAGCAGGGACAACATCAGAAGATACTCTTGGATAGATTTTTGATACATGATATAAGAGGACATACCCCAGAAAAACAAAGTATCTTGCTGTGGGAAAGAAGTTCTCCGTTTCTCAGTGGAGAAATCAAGGCAAAGATAAGTATCTGGTAAAATATTTGCCAAAAGCTGGGAAGAATCACTGAGATTTTGTAGCGGAAAATTCAGCCTGGAGAAGGGGAGTTGAGTACTGCCAAGCTTGGCATAAATACCAGAGAGGGGGAAGGGCCCCAGGGGCAAAATGTAGAGCAAGGGGAGAGGAAAATTTTGCACTTAGTTTGCAATCTGCAGGTGGGTGGCTGGGCTGTACCTCCCTGCAACACACAGGACAGAGAAAAGCAGCTCAGTCTCAACAGGAAGCAGAGAGATTCCCATTGACCCCAAGGACTGCTGGATCAGAGGCAAAAGAAGGAATCACAGTGCTTAAGTTGCATGGCCAAACATCYGAGAAGGAAAAGCAAAAGCCAGCTCCCTGCATCTATTGCAAATAAGTCTGAAACAGTATGTCAACTTTCTTTAAAAACAAAAATTTCCTGGGGAAACAGAACAGGCAAAGGACCCATCCAGCCACATAATCATAAAATCAGCCTCACCATGCACCAAAGGGTCACTTGTTTCAGACCCCTGTGCACTCTGTATACT